ACAGTGAGAGAGTGAGTCTCGGGGGCTGCCAGAAAGATTTCCTAAGAGAGCTGACAGCCGAGTGGCTGAAAGATGCATAGGATTTGACCAAGAAAGGATTCTATCAGGTATTGCCTTCCCCTGACTCACGGCGTTGTGAAGAGACACCAGTGCTTGAAAGGACCTACCTGCTATAGGAGAGTGAGAGTGGTCGGATTGTTTTTTTAGTAGGTAGCTACTTGGGGAAAGTGGCTGGTTACCAAAGTAGGCGGAAGCCAGAGTCTAAAAGTCTTTCAATACCAAATTGGGGAGTTTCCACAAACCATCAAGGATTTTAAACAAAATCAAATGTGCCTCGGTTCAGGCTGCTGTGTGGGATGGACTCGGAGAAGGGGTGGAGGCCTTGGGCAAGGAAAATTAGGCAGGACAGAGCAGTGCCTGTGGAGGTGGGGAGAAGGAATCAAGATACTGGAAATATCCAAAAGGCAAAATCAGCAGCAATGAATGTGGGGAGACAGGAATCTGGGAGAACGCCCACGTTTCTGGTATGAGAATTGGGTAGATGTTGAGTTGTCACTAAGAAACAAATTGGGGGTGGGGTGGGAGTCTGTCTAGAATTTGTTGGACTTGGGGGGGATTTGGAGCAAGATGGAGAGGAGAGTCTCGCGGCAGGCCAACAGCTCTCTGGATGTGGACTTCCAGGCAGAGCTTTGAGCCGCAGAGCTAGAGATTAGCTTGTTGTTGTTAGGTGCCACCGAGTCAGTACCGAACCATAGCGACCTTAGGCACAGCAGAACGAAACAAGAGATTAGCTGTGGAGGTGGTTAAAACTCTGGGAGTTAAAGAGATGACTTGAGAGAGGTACTCGCAGGATGCCCGAGGGTTCCCAGCAGAAGTCATTGGATATCGGGTCATACAGGGAACAGATTTAGGGTCGAGCTCTGGGAAATTCCTAATTTTAGGAGGTAGCCCAAACTGCGGAGGCCCGGAAGAGGACAGAGAATGTGGGAGAAAAAACCAGGATGGAATAAGGGCAGAGAAGCTGGGGCAGCGGAGGGTGGCCGGAGACCTCGACTCAGAAGCCCTCCACTAACAGCCCAGGTGACGAAGATGCGGGGAACGGAGGAACCAGGAACTCCCCCTCCTTCGGGAGGAGAGGAGACTCTCAACTCTTTCCTTCTTCCTTCGCAGCCCCGCCCTGACCCGCCCCGGTCGGGTCTGTTCCGGAAGTGGTGCTTTGCTGGCTCCGGGTACCCGGAGCGTAATCTCCGCGCTCCAGGAAGTGGCCCGGCGGCGGCGCGCCCGGCTCGGGCAGTGCTCGCTCCTACTTGGGGCGCTGCTAAGGCGCCCGAGCCTGGGCGTCGCCATGACCAGCGAGCTGGATATCTTCGTGGGAAACACGACCCTCATTGACGAGGATGTGTATCGCCTTTGGCTAGATGGCTACTCGGGTCTGTTTGTGGGGTCACTTGTGGGCCCCTTCCGGTGCTGCAGTTGTTTTGGGTGGGCGAAGGGGCGGGGCCAGGGTACATCCCATTGGGAAGTAAGTAGGCCGGAAGCTGGGAGTAACCCGTGTATAAGGGATGAGTTTGGGATCCCCAAAGGGACCCTGGGGTCGACAAGGCAGGGACTGATGCCAGCGCCCACTCCCCAGTGAGTGATGCGGTGGCCTTGCGGGTGCGCTCTGGGATCCTGGAGCAGACAGGCGCCACCGCGGCGGTGCTGCAGAGCGACACCATGGACCACTACCGCACCTTCCACATGCTTGAGCGCCTCTTACACGCGCCGCCCAAGCTTCTCCACCAGCTCATCTTCCAGATCCCGCCCTCCCGGCAGGCGCTGCTCATCGAAAGGTGCTTACTGGGCGGGATGGTGGAGGCGTTGCAACACGTGTAACCGTATACCCACTTTGCAGTATGAAACTGAGACCCTAAGTAGGGACGGGACTTGCCCAGGCACTCAGAAGTTGGGAGCAGAGGGAGCCAGAACTCAAGCCCTGCCAGGACCCTGTTTCCCCTTCTTTTCAGAGTGTCAGTGGTATTCTCCACTTAACGCTTCCACGCACAGGTACTATACCTTTGACGAGGCCTTTGTGCGGGAGGTACTGGGCAAGAAGCTGTCTAAAGGCACCAAGAAAGATCTGGATGACATCAGCACCAAAACAGGCATCACCCTCAAGAGCTGTCGAAGACAGGTGGGCATTCAGTCTACACACACAACATTCTACCTGCAGACCTGCAGTCCTCTTGGTCCCCCATCGATCCCTTAGGCCCCTGTGCACGCTCCTCCTCAGATGGTGGCAACAGCTTCACACCCAAGCCCTTCTCCCATATCTTGTCCCTTGTAAGCCATCCCCTACTCTGGGCAGAGTAACCTTTCAGAAGCCCGTCTCCGATCCTGACTTTCTCCTCTTCATTGATTCCCACTGCTTCCTGGATAACAGCCTCACTCCTTGGCCTTGACCTTCAGACTCTGTAATCTGGCCTTTGCTGGTGTCTGGGCATTTTCTTACCTCCCAGGCTGTCTGTTTTATCTTGCTGCTCCTTCTACCCGGAGTGCACTGCTCTTGGCCATGTTTACCCTCCTTGAAACCTAAGGCAGGGCGTCTGGTGTGACACCACCTCTTCCACAAGTCATCCTGGTGGTTCCAGGAAGCAGCAGCCCTTCTTTTGGATTTGTGTCTTTCCCCCATGTCTCCTGTATGCTCCCTGAGGATGGCCTAGCATTTGTTCATCTTTGGGTTCCTAGAGCTTAGCCAGTAGGGTTAGTGCCAGCACAAGCTCCTTGTTGGAGGGGGTCCGGGAGCACAGTGCTAAAATGGGGATGAATTTAGAGACAGAAGTAAATCAACATTAATTCAAGGCAATGTGGCAGAAGTTAATAAACTTTAGTTAAATTGATGTAATTCATTGTGCGCAGAATAAAGCTGCTCTATTGTGTTTTCAAGGCTATAGCCCTTCAGAAGCAGACAGCCATACCTCTCTCCCAAGGCACCTTTTTGTTGGTGTTATTGGGTGCCATTGAATTGGTACAGACTCATAGCAACCTTAGGCGCAACAGAACGAAACACAGCCTGATCCTGGGCCAACCTCACAATTGTTACCACACATGAGCCCACTGATGCTGCCACTTTGCCAATCCATCTCGCTGGGGGTTTTGGGTGGGTTCTAATCCCCAACCTTTTGACTAATATAGTTCAGTACTTAGCCATCTGCACCACCCAGGGACTGCATGTTGAATTGATTAGAAGCACTAATTGGTGGAATAGTAGATGCTAAGTCAGCATTTGCTGCCAGGCTAGGCAGGTCAGTGGTAGATGGATGTTCAATAAACATGTATTGGGTGAGTCCACACTGACCAGTCATGCTTCTCCAATTGTCCCACACAGTTCGACAACTTTAAGCGAGTTTTCAAAGTGGTGGAGGAAATGCGTGGCTCCCTGGTTGACAACATCCAGCAACACTTCCTCCTCTCTGATCGACTGGCCAGGTGAGGAGCCAAGTGACGCCCTCCTGCACACTCCTTCACTTGGCCTTGAGGGTCTGCTTAACCCATCCACTTCAAACCCTCTCCAGACCTCCTGGCTGTGCGGGGTGCATGGCCATCCCGCTTTTAGTCTGTACTATGGACCAGACTGACCTGAGTTCAAATCCAGCCTGCCATTCGCCAGTTGGGCTGTTGTGAAGCTGAAACAAGGCACTGCATGTTAGCCCGTGGCACAGTGGGCTGGCTCCCCTTGTGGTTTCCGCTATGTCCCTTAGGATATCTGCAGTGATGACATGGGGGTCCAGGGAGAAGTGACTTGGGCACAGTGAGTTAGAGCAGCGAGGGACCCGAGCTTAATGTTTGGCCACAGGTGCAAGTAGGGAGCTGCTTGCTAAGAAGGGATTTCAGACCCTGAGGGGAAGACTCTCCCCTCCTCTCTGCAGGGACTACGCAGCCATTGTCTTCTTTGCCAATAACCGCTTTGAGACTGGGAAAAAGAAACTACAGTATCTGAGCTTCGGCGACTTCGCCTTCTGTGCTGAACTTATGATCTGGAATTGGACTCAGGGAGCCATCGGTGGGTGAGGCCCCTTCAGAGGTGCCAGGAGCCCACAGCCTCCCCATCCCTCAGGATCTGAGGGCCCCAATTCCCAGCATCCCTTCTTCTTCAGGGACCTCCCAGGTTACTGCTGCTCTCTGTGGCCTGAAGCAAGTCAGCGCACCTCTCTGAGACTAGTTCCTCTTCTGTCCACGGGCCCAGTAATGGGTGGCTCTGGCTGAGAGATGCTCTGATGTCGTGGGAGGGGTTTTTCTTATCACCCGCCTCCCCCGTGGACCTCACTCAGACTCCCAGGTAGATGACATGTTTATGGACCTAGACAAGGAGTTTCTTCAGGACTTGAAAGAGCTCAAGGTGCTAGTGGCCGACAAGGACCTTCTGGACCTGCATAAGAGGTGAACTTGGGGAGGCCACAGGGTGGGGCTTGAAATAGGACTTGAGTGACTCTAGGGCTGACCCTGTCTCCCTACAGCCTTGTGTGCACCGCCCTCAGGGGAAAGCTTGGCGTCTTCTCTGAAATGGAAGCCAACTTCAAGGTCTGTGGCCTAGTCCAGCCTCCGCCCCTCAGGCATCCTCAGTTTCCAGTGCCTTATCCCCACTAGCCAGCCTGAGAGTGACCGGCAGGTGGCACTGCTGCTCCCTCTGCAGGCCTGTGAGGGGGGGAGTAGGTGGACAGAGGGAACTGGATAGATTTGGGGAGGGGCCTGCCCCTGCCCCAGCTTCTGGGCTCAAGCCCCCCCAGCTTTTGGGGCAGAAGACAGAACTCCCAGGATCCCTGCCCCACAGAACCTGTCCCGGGGGCTGGTGAACGTGGCTGCCAAGCTGACCCACAATAAGGATGTTCGAGATCTGTTTGTGGACCTGGTGGAGAAGGTGAGATGTCCTGCTGGTGCCCTTTGACCCTCTGGCTTGGCCTGACCCTGGGCTGGACTACATGCTTGATGTTCCTTGGGCCCTCAGTTTGTGGAACCCTGCCGCTCTGACCACTGGCCACTGAGTGATGTTCGACTCTTCCTGTGTCAGTATTCGGGGTCCGTCCACTCCTTAGATGGCTTCAGGTAAGAGATCCCCAGCCCTCCCGCCAGCATGGCCTTGCCCCTTCTAAAACTGGGAGTACCTGTGCTGCCCCCCTGGGGTTGGAGTGCTCTCTTTGTGGACCAGAATCCAGAGCTGTGTGACCTTAGGCAGATTACTTCACCACTCTGCCTTATGTCAGATGTTGTTAGGTGCCGTCAAGTCAGTTCCGACTCATAGTTTCCAAGGAGCGATTACAAATGGACATTGCAGTCCAGTACATTAACCCACAGTGTCACACCAGGACTCCGTGTCAGATGTTGTTGTTATGTGCCGTGGAGTCGGTTCCAACCCATAGCGACCCTGTACAGGGTTTCCAAGACTGTAAATCTTTACAGGAGCAGAAAGCCTCATCTTTCTCCCACAGAACAGCGGGTAGTTTAGAACTGCTGACCTTGCGGTTCACAGCCCGATTCGTAACCACTACGCTACCAGAGCTCCTTCTGTGTCAGATAGGGGATGATATTGCATCTGTGTTGTATTCAATGAGTTGAACTACTCAAAGCCCAGAGTGTTCAAGAAACCGAAACCTCTGCTCTTACTATTACTGTTCCAGGTACCAGGCCCTCTGGGACCGCTACATGGGCACCCTCCGCGGCTGCCTCTTGCGCCTATACCACGACTGAGGCCCCTCCCTTCACCAGCTCCCCCAGTGACAATAAAGCTGCCATGAGTTTGGAGACTGATCCTGGCTGTGAGGGGCGGGGGCAGCAGGGAGGAGACGTGTGCCTGCATAGATGTGCGTTTGTGTGTAAGGAGGTGTGTGCACGGGCCTGAAGAGACTGGATGGTGTGAAGAAGGGTGTGGTTATTCTTGCCAACCATCTCCCCAAGCCTAGCCAAGTCCTCGCAGAAGCTGGGGATCTTATCTTGGTTTATTCAGACGATGGGGAAGATGGGCAAATAGGTAGGGGTAGGGCCAGGGACGAGGAGTGGCTGGACAACTCATGGAGGGCAGGAGACTGGGAGCTTCTTAGCAGGTTGGTCCACTCGGGCTGTGAGCGGGAACTTGGTGATGCCGCAACTATTGCTCCCACGGTGCAGCCGGAAATAGCCCTAGGAATTAATGGGCATCAGGGTCACAGGGTAAGGTGGGGCCTGGTCCACCCACCCCCACCCCCATTGTAGAACACACTTACTTTTTCACCCCATTTGGACCCCCAGGAGTTCTTCAGAATCCAATATGGGGTGGAGCGAGGAGTCACCTGGGCTCCATCCTGGGACCCCTTTGCCTGAGCCCTTGCTCCTGACTTACTCTTGCCAAAGCCCACCAGCAGAACAGAGTGGTTCACACGATAGGGGTCACAGGTGGTTGGTGTGGCCTTGATGATACCCTTCTGGTAGTTCTTTGGTGGGGGGAGTGGGGACATAAGGTCTGAGTCCAGGGCCACCCTCCCTCATGTGCCCCCCAACCCCTCCCTGCCCCATCCCACCTGCAGCGGCGTCATGTTGATAGTCACAGTGATGGGGCCATGGATGGCCAGGTAGCTGGCGATTTCTGGGTGAGTGGGAGATAGGATCAGGGTTGAGAACATGCTTTGGACTGCCTGCCTCCATCCCCCCTCTAAAGCTGTATGTCTGTGCCGTTAACCCCCCACTGGATCCCCGCCCTGGCCGCACTCTGCTCGCTGTCAGGCAGCATGATGAAATCCTTGATCCAGGCCACGTTCTTGTACTTCTTGGCCTGGCAGTTGTGGGCTCTGAAGGTCCCCCGAAACGGGTACTCTTTTTCACTGGCCAGGCCACCTAGGAAAGAGAAAAGCCAGATGAGGGTCCCAAACATGTCTCACACCTTGCTGTGGTCTTTAAACCCTGGAGCCCTCTTCCCCACCAAGTCCATCCTTCCAGTTGCTGGGAGAGAAGGGGCACTCACTATTGTTAAGGACAGTTGCGAATGCGTCCCAGACGTAGCCCCCTTGGCATCCATTCCCACAGCGGTCACAGTCAAGCAGTTCTGGGGCAAGAAGTGACATCCTGGGTATCCAGGTCCCCAAAACCTGCCCGTCCTCCCCCTGCCACGCCCCATCTCCCAGCCGTACCCTGCACAGAGACCTCCACAGACTGATCAAATTTAATATTCCACAAGGACTCGATGTTGCTTGCGGCTGCTATAGCCCAGCAGCAATTGCAGTTTTTCTAGTAAAAGAGGATGGGGTTTGGGGCATGAAGTAGCTGAGCCTTACCCACTTCTTGTCTTCCCCACCCCACCCCCACCCCGCCCCACCCCCGCAACCGCAGGGTCTGGATTGGGCCAGGCTGGGGGAGGGGTGGATACCTGGTCCCTGATGGGCTTGATGGTGTTGGGCCGCTTCCGCCAGTCACAGGTGGAGGGCACTGACTTCCCCCACCCTTCAGATTCCACCTTTCTGCTCACATTGGGATCCCTTCCAGGCACCTGCTGGGGTCCATAGGCCTGGATAAACTCCTCCTCTGGGAAACAACAGGACCATCAAGGCCACAGTTTTGACCCTCAGGCAGACCTATCCCACTCCAGGCATTTAAACTGTTGGCCTCCTGGGTCCCTTTAATACCTGGGAGGCAGAAAGACGAGGAGACAGAGGCGAGAGAGAAGATCAGCTCTTTCTGGGGGAATTTCCCTGCCCTGTGATCTAGGCCCCTGACCTGCCCTCTGGTGTAAACAAGCATCCAGTCTCTGATCTGAGCCCCTCAGTGGGGATGGAAGCCCACAGTCTACCCTGCCATCCGCACCCATCACCTAGGGCCCAGGAGGGTTCTGGTACCTGTGAGGTCACTGAAAGGGGTCACTCCAAACTGGGCTGTTCCCAAGTCGTTGTCCTCCTGCTGCTGAGCCTGGGCCAGGTTGTGAGTGAAGATGTCCAGGCGGCGGGCATACTCTGGGCCAAAGGGGGTTGTCCTAGATGGCTCCCAAACCACCCCAGCAGGAAGTGACCACTGTCTAGCCCACCTGGGTGATAGGTTCCTCTCCTGTAGCCCTCCAGGTTTCATGCAGAAATCGTTTCCCAGACCCCAGAATTAGGTTTGCCACCGAGGCACTGAAGGGAGCATCTCTATCTGGGTGGGTGGGGTTGGGGTACCATGTCTGGAGTCTCAGTGGCTGAGAAGAGATTGTGAGGGTTTCCTGCTATGCTATCCTATCTTCACGCCTCTGACCACACAGTCTGGAGCCTGGGATTGGGATGGGGGGTGGTGAGGAGCAGGGAGGAGGCAGCCTGTTCCCCACCCCCTACAGACTACCTTCTGCAGGGGAGGAGACCCAGAGTTGGGGCAAGACAGGACTGACTATCCGTGGTGATAAAGAGGGAAATCCCAGCTTAGCGACAAAATGGAAACCCTTGGGTGTTCATTGAATGAGCACGACTAGACAGTGGTCTCATGTCTACTGCTCAGGGTCACAGATGGAGTGGTGGGAGCGGGGTCCTCAGAACTGGGAAAGACTCCAACAGCTGCCACCTGCCCCCCCTTACTCAGCCCACCCCCAGATACTATGCATGCTGGCAGGAAACCAGAAGTCTGCCCCAGCCCAGCTGGTCATTCTGCTTGGTCTTGGACACGCGCATTCCCCACTAAACCTCAACTTTCTCATTTATTAAGTGAGAGGAGGTGCTGGGCTGAGACCGAAGGATCTAGTGGTACCTGCTGGGTTTGAATAACTCCTGTTGTACTGAATCTGGAACAATCTGAAGACCTCTTTCACCTCCAATGGCTGGGGACCAGGGGCCTGGCAAGGGACCAAAAACAGAGGACATGGAGGGACCCATTTGGATCCCCACCTTAGTTCCTACCATGCAAGGACTATGCTAGGGGGTCAGCCAGTTTACCTGCTCTGCTCCCATGTGAGCTAACTAGGTCATGTCATCCCCCTCTGGCCTTCTGAGAAATGGGAATGACAAAACCAGTTGTTTACAGAATGGGTGAGTTCCAGGCAGGCATTAGTGGTAGAGGGAATTGGAAGCAGGTGAGAGACACTTACCGGAACCATGAGGGATCCCCTGATGCTGTGGGCCAGGCCTGCCATCAGCAAGGCCTGCAGGTAGAAGAGGTGAGTCTTTGATACCATGGTGGTATAGCCAGGAGTAACAGGAGCAGGAAGTGAAGACCAAGCTGGAAGGGCAGGAGGGTGGGGCTGGAGAACCACAGAGGGGGAGGCAGAGCTATAGCAGAAGGCTATTGGTGCAAGGCTGCCTCCGGTCTCTGGCTTTTGTCCCTGTGTGTCCCTTTGCTGGTATGCCTGTTCCTCACCCACCTCCATGTCTTTATTCTGCCCACCTGTCCTGTACAATGCTGAGGATTGGGAGGACCCTGCCCCTAAGGAGGCAGACCCTAGGTGGGCAGTGATAGTCTATCTGTGATGAGGAAGTTGGGACTACAGGACCCATAAGCCCCTGACAATTAGGTGGGAATGGAGGGCCATCTGTGCTCCCAGGGAGCTGGTCCTCCTGCTCATGCTATGAAGGCCCAGTCAGCACAAAGGTCACCTAAAGAAGGAAGCACCCCATTCACCAGCCTCTAGAGTAACCTGCTGTCCCCTAGGTCCCATGGTGCCTGTCCCACTTGGCCTCCACCTCCCATCACACTTAGGGGACTTCTGCTTCGTGTATGGCCTCGGCGTCCAGGACACGTAGACTCCCTGCATACTTGTTGGCTGAACAATTGAACATCTTGGTTTTTAAATAGAGTGTTAGGCTCTACGGGGCAGCAGGTGGTAGCTACAGCCTCCTCCTGTCCCTCCTTCCTGCCATGCTCTGGGCAAATTCAAGGCTGTGGGGGCACAAAGACAGCAGCGTGGGCATTGGAGACAGAACAAGGCCAGAGTCTATCAGATAGATCAAAGGCACAAGTAGGTCCTGCTCAACTTCTGCATCAAATTCTATCAGCTGTGTGACCTTGGGGCAGTCGCTTTACCTCTCTGAGTATGTTTCCCTGTCTGGTGTTTCTATTTGCCCTATATGCAGGAACGTGTGAGAACAGGAGAGTGTGAGAACAGGGAATGGAAAGCCAGAACTTGGCATAGTCTCTTTAAGTCACTGTTTTACATGAAGGAGTTTAGGGCCCATGGGAAGTAACAAAGGTGGTTAGCACATAGATGGCAGGAAGTATGAGCAAGAGGTGCTAACATCTCGGTTCCCTAACACTGCCAAATCAAAAAACTATAAACTGGGCTGCTTAAAATGCCAAAAATGCATTGTCTCCCAGTTCTGGAGGTTAATATGAGCAGGCTTCAAAAAATTTGTGGAAAAATGCCATGATCTTTTCATTCCATTTTTCTTTGAACTTTTAAGTCCCCTGACACAACCAAAACTTATGTAAGGCAGAAACCTGTCAGAGAAGGAAAACTCACATCTTTTCCACTAACAGAGATCATTTAAAAACGGTAAGACTTGGGCCCAAGCGTTGTTGACCGTCCAAACCATAGGCTCTGAGGATCAGACTCTAGCCACCTAGTAGACATAGCAAACTGTCCTTCATCTGATTATTCAGTAATGCTTGTTAGTAATCTCATACATGAGCCCTGGATATCCACAGACAAATGTAAAAACCTTCCCTAAAAGCCGAGACTGTAAATTCCAAAGAGGCAAGTCCCCCGCCATCCAAAAAAAAAGCTAAAGAGGATAGAGAGAAACACTGTAAACTGATGATATATGGAGGGGATAATAATCAATGTAATGAAACAAGCTATATGAATGGAGGAATGTGAAGCTGATGATGTGCCCTGTAAACTTTCACTCAATCCACAATAAAAACATTTAATTATAAAATAAAATAAAAATGGTAAGACTACACGTTGTCTAAGGCGGAAATCCTACGAGACCCAGAAATACAAGGCAGTCCCTTCGAGTTCTGACTCACAGGCTTCACGACAGTGTCTCAGCAAGACCACATCCTCTTCCAAAGCTCTGGACAGAGATCCTTTCTTGTCTGGTTGCTTCTGGTAGAGCTGGTATTACTTGGCATCTAACACAGCGCCATGCATGCATCTATCCTCGTCTTTGTGTCTCCTCTCTGATACAGACACCAGGCTGACTGGTCCCCACCCATTAGGAGTCAGAATTGACTCCATGGCAGTGGGTATGATTTTTTGTTTTTGTTTGTCAATTCCAGTATGACCTCACGTTAATGGATAACATCTTCAATGACTCTATTTCTAAACTAGGCCATGTTCACAGGTACCAGGAGTTAGGATTTCAGTTACCTTCTTCAGGAACACAATTCAATCTGTAGCAGTCCTCACAGCAACCTTGGGAGATGAGTTATATTGTCACCCCCAAAGTCACACAGCAAGAGGTGGATGGAGCTGAGATTTTAATGTAGCGTGTTGCCCGCTCTGATCTTGGAATTCATTTGTTCTCACACCACCTCACTTCTTCATTCTTTAGGACCTTTCCCATCCTGTGTGGTACCATTTTGCTACATCACTTACTCCCGACACACATTCATGTGCACACACACACACATGTGCAAGCGCACACACAAAGTCATGAGGCTTTCTATAAGGAAAAAGGAAACCATGCTCATATAATGAAAAGGCAGCAGATGGGTGTGTACAGAGGAGAGGTGGACCCCAAGGTGTCACCCACATGTATGACCTGTGACTAAGGCCCTGGACCAGCATTCAGAGCTGGGTGCCAAAGGAGGTATCATAAATTCAGTTCTTGTGGTGGGAAACAGGAAAGGGTATGGTCTGCCCCATAATCCCTCCCCCCGCCCCCTTGAACAGACGTTCCACTAGGTCAGGAGGTCAGTGCTATTTGACCAGCGCTGTGTCCCTGCTGCCTGGTTCAGGGTGGCCGTTCAATACTCTGGAATGATGAATGAATGAACTGTCCAGTTCACTCACTCATTAATTCACCTGCTTATCCTGCAGCTCCTGACTCAGGAAGAGTCCTGGGAGATGCTCATGGCATCATGGGAAAGACACTGAACTAGACAAAGCCTGCAGGGAACCTAATGCAAAGCCCATGTCAGCAGGGAAAGTCACAGATTGCCAAGGTCAGGAGGGCCAACAAGGACCTAAGAGCAGAAAGATGAGGGTTTGAGGGTGAGTTTGAGTCACACCAAGTGCCACACCAAGACTCTTCACGTGCATATGAGGCTACTGAAAATACCATGGCTTGAGTCAGGCACACCTTAGTCCTTTAACTGGTATCTTTGCTCTTGAACACTTTGAAGAGGTCTTGTACAGCAGGTTTGCCTAAAGCTATACAATGTTTGAGAAGGATGTCATGCTGGGTAAGGTGGAGGGTCAGAGAAAAAGAGGAAGGCCCCCCAACGAGATGGATCAGCCAGGTGACATCACTGATGGCGTCAAGTGTGGCAGCGGTAGTGAGGTTGGCCCAGGATTGGACATTGTTTTGTTCTGCTGTGCATGGGGTCGTTATGAGTCGGTTCCGACTCGATGGCACCTGACAACAACAACAACAATACAATGTTTGATTTCTTGAATGCTGCTTTCGTGAGTGTTGATAGTGGATCTAAGCAGAATGAAGTCTTTGAAAATTTAAGTCTTTTCTCCATTTATTATGATACTATTTATAGGTCCAGAGTTTTGTTTTCTTTACACTGAGATGCAACCCATATCAAAAGCTGTGATCTCTGATTCTCATCAGTAAATATCTTAAGTCTTCTTAGCTTTCAGAAAGCTAGGTTGTATCATCTGTGTATCACAGGTTGTTGATGAGTCTTCCTCCAATCCTGATGCCATGTTCTTCATATAATCCAGTTTCTCAGATTATTTGCTTAGCATACAGATTGAATGGTGGTGGTGGTGGTTGTGTGCCGTGGAATTGGTTTCGACTCATAGCGACCGTGTACAGACAGGGTTTCTGAGTTTGTAAATCTTTACAGAGCAGAAAGCCTCATCTTTCTCCCACAGAACAGCTGATAGTTTTGAACTGCTGACCCTGAGGTTAGTAACCTGATTCATAACCACTACGTACCAGAGCTCCTACAGATTGAATAGGTACGGTGAAAGAATGCAACCCTGGTGTACACCTTTCCTGATTTTAACCACTTAGTTAGTGTTCCCTTGTTCTGTTCAAACAACTGCCTTTTTATCTATATACAGGTCACTCGTGAGCATAATTAAGTGTTCTGGAATACCCATTCTTTGCAATGTTATCCATAGCTTGTCAAGATCCACAAGGTTGAAAACCTTTGTGTAGTCAATAAAGCACAAGTAAACATCTTTCTGATGTTCTCTGCTTTCAGCCAAGATCCAGCTGACATCAGCAATGATACACCTCATTTCACATCTTCGGAATTAAGCCAGACTCTCCGGCTGTTTCCTATGGATGTACTGTTGCAGCCGTTTTTTAATTATCTTCTGCAAAATTTTACTTGCACGTGATATCCATGATATTGTGATTATTCCTGCATTCCAGTGGATCCCCTCTCTTTGGAATAACTACAAATATGGATCTTTTCCAATCTGTTGGTCTTTCAAATTTCTTGGTATAGATGAGTGATCGACTCTAGTTCTTCATTAGTTTGTGGAAAGACTTCAATTTATATTCCATCAATTCCTAGAGATTTGTTTTTTCCCAATGCCTTCTTCAGTGCAGCTTGGACTTCTTCCTTTAGTACCATGGGGTTCTTGACCATGCCTCTTGAAATGGTTGAACATCAACTATTTCTTTTGGGTACAGTGACTCCGTATATTCCTTCCATCTTCTTTTGATGTTTTCTGCATCATTCAATACTTTGCTCCTAGAATCCTTCAATATTTCAAGTTGAGATTTGAATTTTTCCTTCAGTTCTGTCAGCTTGAGAAATGCTGAGCAGGTTCTTCTCATTTTGTTTTATAACTACAGGTCTTTGCACCTATCGTTATAATCCTTTCCTTCATCTTCTGGGGAGGCCCTATGAAATTTTCCGTTCAGTTCTTTTATATCCTCATCTCTTCCATCCACTTTAGCATCTCTACACTGGAGAGCAAGTTTCAGAGTCTCTTCTGACATCCATTTTGGTCTTTTCTTCCTTTCCTGTTTTTTATTTTATTTTATTTTTTTTTTATGACTTTTCTTTTTTCCTCTGTGATATCCGTGATGTCATCCTGCAATT